GGTGGCCTTGCCCTAAGAGAGAGGTCAGATGTCCGCGATTGTCTCAGTCTTGACCGGAATGTGTTGGCATCTCCGAAAATAGGCAAATTCATGTTTGCTTTTTGGAGGTCTTGAATTTAAATCTCAAATCAAAGTCAGATGTTCGACGACCAGAAGCGGAGAGATGCGCGCGATCGATGATTTTTTGGCGTCATTTTTGGTTCAGATGTCCGCGATTGTCTCTGTCTTGACCGAAATGTGTAGGCATCTTCGAAAATAGGCAAATTCATGTTTGCTTTTTGTAGGTTTTTCATACAGAAAATGCACGTTTGAATCACGAGTTTGATCTTGAATTTCAATCTCATATCAAAGTCAGATGTTCGACGCCCAGAAGCGGAGAGATGCGCCCGATCGATCATTTTTTCCAGCCAGTCGCTCTCTGTGATGAAGGAATGGGGAAGCCCAACGACGTAAGTCTTTTTGCGTTTTCATTCGAAAGCCATTGGAAAGCTTGCGGTGTGTATGCGGCCATCGCCCACATATGACCTTCATGTGGCTCGACTTGATGAAAGCGACGGGCGTCGAAGGTGATCGGTTTGTCATGTATGTCGTGCCACGATCCTATAAGCGCTCGAGTCTTGGTTCTCAGATGAACTTCAGCTGGAGCATCGCCGTTTTCATTTTCTACCCAAACTCGACCTCCGGTGAATGAACCCAGTGTGATTGCATGATTGGGATGGCCTTTCAAGTTCAGGAGATCTCGATGAAGTCCCATTTTCGGGTTGCAGAGGATCGCGATGGAAGTCCACGTTTTGCCCGGAAATCTGTTCCTCAAAAAATGATTGACGGCTCTGCAAGCATCTTCATCATTTGATGCTCGCGAAATTCCAGAAACGCCGCCGTGAGCGTAGAGTCCAAGCGTGCAATATTTTTCATATGCTCCAGGTCCGACGGCTCTGGTGCGCCCTTTGTGTTTCCATTTCGATGACCATTCATCCAATAGATGCACCAGGTTTGCCTCGCTCGGTTCTGAATGAACGGCGGCAGCCAGCAGATCGGTTTGCATTTTTTCCTCTTTTTAATGTATGAGGGGAAAAAAAATGACCGGCGCTCGAGGCCGGCTGAATTGAATGCATCAAACGAATTCACCTGGCTAATAATTCATCAAACGAATTCGGCAACCAATGGGTTTCACTTCCGTATCGCAAAAATGAACAAAACTGACGGAAGACCTCCTATGAGGCTGTCCAGCAGTCTTCCATCTGTACCCTGGGCTGCGGTGCGGGCTCACCAGGGACACACTTGAGGCGATGCATCCTGTAGCTTGATGTCGCGGGCCTCCAGCAGAAGGCCGCACATCTGCCCCATGATCCACAGCTGCCGCACATCGATCGCAACCAGTGCCTTGCGGCCTCTGAGCTCAGCCGGCGGATTCATCAATCTGCTTCCGCTGGCGTCCCAAAACCGGACCCTTGCGAGGTTAGCTTTCAGCTTCAAGCATCGCCTCTCGTTGCGCGTCTGCTTGATGCAGGTCTGCAACTTCGAATCCAGCTTCTTGGCAGCGATTTGGGCTGAAGCCTGCTTCTCCAAGCGATCCACGACCTCTTGCATTTCGGACGTGAGCTCGAGCACCAGGCTGACGCGTTCGGAGGTTTGCTCGCCTTTGCCAAACCCAGCTCATAGAGGATTTCGGCCCATTGGGTCATGTTCCAGCACAGAGGCTCAGCAGGCAGAAATTTGCCGCCCTTCTGGTTGGTGTCCACGTCGCCAAGTCGGAGATCCATTGCTGCTACGCAAGGCTCCACCAAGTTCGGCGGTCGATCTCTTTTCTTATACGGTCAACAAAAAAAAGTTGTCCGACCACGTGAACTGGAAAGAAGCGTTGCTCTGCAACCTGGCTTTAGCCTGCTATTGCGCTACATTTGCTGGTCTGGTCTGGCTAGAAAAAGAAGATCGAGCCGTTGCCAATGCCGCGTCGGCTTCTGGAGCTTTTCTCCGGAACGGGGTCGATGGGCAGTGCCTTCGAGGAGCTGGGTTGGGAAGTCACTTCGCTTGACATCGATCCCGAGGCCAACCCCACAATCTTGGCTGACATCTGTTCCTGGGAGCCGCTGCCCAAGTTTGCTCCGGGCTATTTTGACATGATCTGGGCCAGCCCTGTGTGCACCGAGTACAGCAGGGTCTTGACTCGTAGGCCCAGAAGGTTGGAGGAAGGGGACCGGCTCGTCCTGCGGACCCTGCAGATCATCCGCGAGCTGCGCCCCCCTTTCTGGGCCATCGAGAACCCTGCCACTGGGCTCTTGAAGCAGAGGCCCTTCATGGAAGGACTTCCCTGGCGCGATGTAAGCTACTGCACCTATGGATATCCTTACCGCAAGCTCACCAGGATTTGGACCAATCTGCCTTGGGCACCTCAGAGGCTCGTCTGCGG